AAATAGTAATTTATAAATTATCAAGGGCTCATGAAGGAGGGGGGAGCGGGGAGGGAGGGAAAAAATGAGGAGCTGATGCCAGGGGCTTAAGTAGAGAGCAAATGTTTTGAGAATGAGGAGGGCAATGAATGCACAAATGTGCTTTACACAATTGATGTATGTATGGATTGTGATAAGAGTTATATGAGCCCCTAATAAAATGCTTTTTTTAAAAAAGAGTCCTTCACAATTGCAAGTGGACAACTGAATTTCCTTGAGAAATGCTGACTGTGTTCTTCCATTTTTGTTTTCTGACTCCAGGTCTTTGCACATTTCATTATAATATGTTTTGTCTTCTGGAATGGTCCTTTAAAATATTTTCTTCCACTCTAAACATATCAATTTACCTGCACTTCAGTAAACATGTTGAGCATGCTTCCTTCTCAACACCTTAGTACTGTCTGATAGAACACTTTTCCCCATAGCTTGTATCAGCACATCCCTCTGGTCTCTGCTCAAATGTGTTACCTTTTCAGTAACATCTCTGATTTCCTTGCTTTACACAGCAACCACTTTCCCAAACTAAATATTCGCCATTCCCCTTATTCTACTTCACATCATAGTACACTTAGCACCATCTATAAGCTAAGAGTTAACATCAATTCTGAGCTGACCCAGGACTGACTAGAGGTTAGAGAATTTTTTTTTCTTAAGAAATAGAGTGCAATTAAGTGTAGAACAATGGTTCTCAACCTATGGGTCACGACCCCCTTGGGGGTAGACTGAACCTTTCACAGGGTTGCCTCATTCATAAAAGTAGCAAAATTATAGTTATGAAGTAGCAACGAAAATAATTTTATGGTTGGGTGGGTCACCACAACATGAAAAACTGTTATTAAAGGGTCATGGCACTAGGTAGGTTGAGAACCACTGCTGTAGAGTGTTGTGTCACTTTTTATCTGCTGTGAAGCACTACATTGGAATTTGGACGAATTGTGAGTTGGCATGCATGCTTTGGTCTTTATGATCAAGTAATAAAAAAGATTGGTAAGTAACTGAGGTGGCGGGTATTCTGTGTCAAGTTGACTTACCTCTTTTGTTCATAGCAATGATAGTTGTATGTGACCTATGTGGGTGAAGCAGCAAAAGAAAGCTTATATTTGGAGTGCTGATAGACCTCTCAATGAAATAATACTATTGTCTCTTATGCTTCATCTCTATAAAACTCAGCTATTATTAGATTAAAAGTCGACTGTAACTTGTGAGTTTGTCTGCCAATTCAAGCCCTTAACAACTATTCTTTAATGTACTACTTGACATATATTCATTTGTCTATTTTCAGTCTCTCTTACTAGAACTAGATATGAACTATAATTATTCGTGTCCACTGCTCAATCCTTAACACCGAAAGATGGAAGAAGAACTAATAAAAAGTAAGCATCAAAGCCAAGAAATCCAAAACTCTAGAAAAGTAGTAGTCAACTGTATCAAATGCCACAAAAAATTGAAAAATAGATGCAAAACGTATAATATTTGATCATTAGAAAGTTACTAATAGTCAGGAGAAAGCAAGTTTTGATACAGTAGTAAGAAAAGGAAATAAAAGGTAATCCATGAGAAGCATAAAAGTAACAATTTTTAAAGCTAAACTGAACACCTAAGAAAATCCGAAAAAAAAAAGAAAATCCATTAGGAAAAGATTTTCTCTAAAACTTTCACCCAAACTATAATAAAAATGTAAAGAAAAAAATCAATTAGAGACACACTAAAGACTAACTGAAAAAAGTTAACATGTTTTTCTGTGTTGAAAATTTAAATCACAAGCAGTTTGAAACCGCCCTCGGGAGGATGGAATGATCTACTCCCGTTAACAGTAATAGTCTCAGAAACTCACTGGGGCGGTTCTGCCCTGTCCTATAGGGTCACTGTGAGTCAGCACCAACTTGATGGCAGCAAGTTTGGTTAGTTTGGGAGATTGGCAAACGTGGTCAGGCCAGCATCCCTGACTCTGGAGGTGACTGCTTCTCCACCTGTAATCCCCTAGTGAATCCAGGATGGAGCTCCCTGTTCAACAGTATTCTCCCAGTAGAGGGGAGTAGGAAGGTGTTGTTGGAAAATCTTGGGAATGCAAGCAGTCTGCTTAAATGTTGGCCTCTTCTGGTCCTTGGGTCCAGTGGTTTTTCTGTGATAGCTTTTGGTTCCAATTGGGACAAATGGACTTAAAGCTTGATGTCTTGAAGTTTCACAGCAAAAGTATTCATAAAATCCCGAAGCCATGGGGAGGTGGGGAAAGGGAACAAAATAATGATGAAAATAAGGAAGAAATGGGTAGCGGGGAGACGGGGCGCTAACCCACCCAAGGGGAGGGTATTGTTTATATCTCCACAGGAAAAGAGAGACCAGACTTTAACCCCGTGCTCTAAGGTGTGAAAGCAACATGCTGGCACG